CCAGCTTCTCACTTCCAGCACTCCATGGCCCAATTTATTCTTCAGTTTCCAGCCAGGCAGCACTGGGTGTTTGCCCACACAGCGCTGTGCGGGCCGGGCAGGAGCTGCGCTCCCCATGCCTTTATCTGTCTCATCAGCTTCTGCTCTGCACCTGTGTAATCCTGAACGAATCCTCTTCAGAAAAGAAAGATTAGCACATGCTTGCACTGCAGCAGGCCTTCCCTCCCAGGCTCTCCGATATCCCCCAGCAGTAAAACTCAGGCGCAGGCCCTGAATTGCGGCATGCTCAGGATTTACAGCCCAGAGATGAAGGCTCGGGCACACTGCAGCACGAGCATTGGGACAGCGTGGCTGTGGGTGCCACACATTGCGACCGAGAGCCTGCAGGGCCGCCAGCACGACGCCAGGCACCGGGCACAGCGGGATCAGCACGGGCACATCCGCGCCGCTGCTAATCCTGAGCTAAGCCACCAGCCCCAGCAGGGCTGCACTGATTCGCGTGAGCGCAGCAGAGAGCAAAGTCTGGTGAGCAGAGCCAGAGCACAGGTCCTGTGCTTCCAACTGCTACTCTCATCCCCATTTCACGCCACGCAACAAGATTGAGCTTTAAATCCATACAGGAACGACCGGGATGAGCAAGAGACAGCATCGGGAAATGAGCAGCAGCACTCCTCGTAGGGATGCTGGCATGAGCTGAGGTTAAATCCTCAGTGCCCTTTTACCTCTACAGAGCTTTGCCTGTTAACAAACCCCAGCAGACAGAACACACAATGAGACAGTTCCAAATCACGTGAAGGGGGAGGGAGGATGAATGGAAGCAGTTTTAAAGCAACCCTTCCCCTCCCACACCTCACAGATGGGGAAAGCCATCAGACAGCTGAGCACTCATTCCTGCTGCACAGAGTGGTGCTTATGGGATCTCTCATTTTATCAGGAAAGGATCTGGTCAGGGATGAGCGGCAGTGACAGCACCTGTGAGGCACGGTGGCCACTACCCTTCCAGAGGCTAAGGATATTCTGAAGGTCATTCATTCACAAGCAGAATCTGCCTTAGGATTACCCTGCTGAGACCTGCAACCGCTGCCTTAAAAATAACTGAGGGTCCCCTCGCAGACCAGCAGCTCAGCCAGGCTGTGCCCTAGGGATGGATGGGACATGCACAGCTTGGGTGGGACATGCAAGGCCACAGCACAGGGCCTGCTGGAACCAGGCAACCTCCTGCCTGGGGACTCACACACAACGCAGTGACATTCCACACTCACCTGCTATGAAACAACTCGGCTTTCACATCAATTGCCCAAAAGCACCACAAGGCCAAGAGCACGCACCCCTCACAGCCTGGGCCAGAGCCCAGGTGCCATGCAATGGCTGCAGGGGACACATACAGCATCTGTCCCTTTCCCCTCCCACAAAGACACAGCGAAGGGAGCCCTCCCCTCCCCAGGGGTCAGGCTGCTCCAGCCTGCAAGCAACAGCTCAGCTTATCAAAGGCTATTTCTTGAGCAAGATCTAACCTTGAGGATGCAGTCCCCGGTTATAAATGTTACCTTTGATCAATAACTGTCACAAATGCATTAGAATCAGTCAGTTAAACCTTGTGATTTAAGCAACATTTATGGCTTCCTGCACAGCTCTATCATCTCCTCGATGACAACAGCCACACGATATCCATCTCTAAATCTCTCTGGTGCTCTCCAAAGCAGTGGCAGCCCCACAGCACACAGGGCTCGCTCCCCACAGGCACAGCTTGTCCCATTGCAGCTCATACCTCCCTGTGCTCCCAAAGCACCAGGGTACATCCAGGGCTGCTCTCAGGCCACAAGATGTGCGATGGAGGCGCCACCAGTGATGCGCTGCCTTTGGTCCATGGGATGTTGCAGCTCACACTGCAGCCCCAGCTGGTGGGTGACAGCACAGCCACCACGGATGGGGAGCAGCTTCACGTGCAAAAAGCTCTGGGCTAATTCATGGAGCATTTAAGCTCACTTCTGACTTGAAATACACAAAGAAGAGTAGAGAGCACTCCATAAGCCCACATGCCAAGAAGTCTGCGGCAGTTGCTAACAACTCCAGGCTTTGCACTTTGAGCAAGCTTTCAACCCAAATTATCTCCCGGCGTGCAGGAATGAAGTAAAATCATTTTAATTGTCTTTTGCTCCTCAAAGTCTGGCCGCAGCCCAAGAGCCACCGCTGCTGGCCCACACACACCGAGCTGCAGAGCGGCACAATGGGTCAAACAAAGGGCCGCTGTGGGGAACCGGCCGGGCTGAGGGCTGCACAGGGGTCAGCACTGCAGCTCAAACACACAGCCACACAGAGGAAGTGAGCTGTCACCATGCCTGCACAGATAATGGGGTGTATGGAGAGAAAAATAAATCAAACCCAGTTTGGAAAGAAGAGGCAACGCCACAGCACGGCGCTGGGTTCCATCTGAGCCTCTCTGTATGGCGCAGAACAAGGCTGCTGCAGTGCCAGTGAGCCAGTAACAATTCAGAAGTCAAATAAGGAGCACTGGAGTCATGACACAGGCTTAATACCAGAACCACAGCTTTGCAATTCACTCGTTATCTTGCCTCGAGCCCTTATCTGATTTTCCAAGAGATTAAGAAATCTTGACATAGCATTTATTGCCCACGTTAAACTCCCCATGAGACTGCATACTCTTTCAGTCATTTACAGCAGGCTGTAAAGCCACCATGTAGAGTGGTTCCTGCAGCTTCTCCTTGAAATGGATGATTCCAGTGCACAGCATTAAAAAAAAAAAAAACAACTTATGCTCATTACTACAAAGTGAGCACCAATCGCATCATTTGCACTCCTCCCATCTCAAGATGTCTTGGTTTATTTTTCTGGGTGCACTCTTCCATACATCACTAATTACTGCAGTATTTAGTGAACTATTCAATCTTAAGAGAGCAAAAAGTTCTGTCCTGTAGCACCTACCGCCAAGATGCTCCAGCCCCCCTTGTGCCCACACCTCACAGCACCGAGCTCTCAGCTCCCCAACACCACCCTCATCCTCCCATTGCCCTGCAGCCCCTCACCACTCTATCTTGCCCTTTGTGGCCAAAGCCCTCCTAGAAGAAGCACATCCTCCTCATCCCACCAAGGCTCCTGCGAGGACACCTTCCCAGAACGTGACCAGAAACAACAGCTTAGAAAACAGCAGCCAGAGTTAACAGATGAGTGTATTTCATGGTTACACGATAACTAATTGAGGGAAAAGAACAATGCTCTCATTTCCATCCTACTGCTCTGTGTGCCCAAAGCCCATCCACGGGCAGCAGGCTCACAGGTCAGGCTCCTCCACATCACCCACACTCTCCGAGATTATTCATACAAACACATCCAAAGTCTCAAGTCCCACTGTAGGCTCAAATCTGAGGCCTGAACATCTCTAAAGAGAAAAAATAAGCCGAAGCTCCTGGAGAAAAGCTTGGTTATCACACACAGATCTCCCAAAGGTGCAGCAAGAAGCCTGACCTGCAGCAGGATGAGGGACAGAGCCGTCCCGCTGTGACCTTGGGCCAGCCTGAACTCCAGTCCCATCCAGCAAGCAGCACCTCTGGCATTTTCTTCCTCTTTAAGGACACACACTGCACATAAATAACACCAGAATAGCAACGGAGCAAAACACAGCCCAGACACCTACCAAAACAAATGGCTGAAAACACGAGTCAGTCCTGAGAGCCTGGGAGAAAGAACCAACCAGGGCCAGCCACGAGCCTCACTGTTTAACTCAAGCACTTGACAGATGACAGCAGCAAGAGGTGAGCACTCAGTGCTGCTCAGCACAGCCATGTACTGAAACAACCCAGAGAGATCATCCATCACGTGGCTGAGTCGTGTGCAGCACCGAACCACTGGGAGATCCCAAGGAATGCCATCCCAGAGAGCAGCTCAGGAGGTTCTGTTGGTACATTTTATCCTCCCTGCAAGCAGCGTGCATCCTTCTGACTGATGAAGAATAGAAGTTCTGTTTCTTCAATACGTTACTGTTTCAGTCTCACTGGAAGCTTTGTTTCTCAGGGTCTTTTGGCAATTCATTCACGGTGTGGTCGGCTGTGCAGAGCAGCACCATCCCAATGGGTCAGGGCAGCAGAAGCGCTGTGTGCACAGCGCAGCCCCGCACTGCCGCCACAGCTCCGCACTGCCTGCAGCTTTCCTCCCCGCAGAGCTGTGCGAGCCCTCCCACGGCCCCATCCGACCCTGACTTGTCAGATCTTTGTTTCCCATGCAACGCAAGCAAGCAAAAAAGAAAAGAAACAGCCTCAAAAAAAAAAAAAAAAAGAAAAAGGAAATCAGCACTTCCTTAAACCCCATAGGGCGGCACGGATTCATTTGCTTCCCAGCACGCTTCCACACCCCCTGGACGCACCAACACGGGATGCAGCCTCCCTGCCCCAGCAGCGCGGCTCCAAGCAGCAATGAGCGCGCTCAGCTCCGCCCTCCTCTGAACAGCAGCTGCGGTTTTGCTCTCGCAGCCGCACAGCGATGCCCACAAGTGCCCCGAATCGCGGCCGGGCACCCGAGGTCTCCCTCACTCCTACGGCAACACGTGAGCTCTGCGAGTCGGCTCTCGGGATGCTCGTCGGAGGAGTAAAGAACACGTTAAGGACCGAAGTCTTATTCTAACGTTAACGAAGTGCGTGAAACCCTCCGAGCGCCACTTCGCGTGTCCTTGAACGCTGCCCGGCCCGGCCCGCTCCCCGCAGGGTGAGCCCGCCCGGACAGATGCGGCTCATGGAACGGAGCCGGCTCCGCTGCTCGGGCCGCTCCTATGGCACCGCGACGGGAGCCCGCAGCCCACAGCGCCCGGCGAGGCACCGCTCCGAGGGCGCTCCGCCCGCCGCCCCCGTCCGGTCCCGCCTGGAAAGGCTTCGCGGTGAGGCACGGCCGGGGCGCGCGCCCCGATCCCCCCCCACAGGGCCCAAGGAAGCTCCGCTATCAGACCCGCCGCGCCCCTCCCGCAGCCGAACCCCCCGGCCCCGCCCCGCTACCTCGATCTTGTCCACGCTGCGGGCGCACCCCACCACCTTCATGCCGTGCTGTACCAGCGCCCGCGCCACGGCCGCGCCGATGCCCACCGAGGCGCCGGTGACCAAAGCCACGCGCCCGGTCCACCGCTCCATGGCCGCGCCGCCGCCGCCACCGCGCACAATGCGCCGCCCGCCGCGCGCCACGCCCCCGCGCCGTGACCACGCGCCCCCCCTTTTACCACGCCCTTTGGCCACGCCCCGTCCCTTTGGCCACGCCCCTCCCCGCGCGCTGCACGCACCGAGTTCGTCCGGGCTCAGCCGCAGCCGCTCCGCGGTCCGTCGAGGCGTGCAGTGCGGAGCCTTGGGAACTGCAGAAAAGCAAAGCAAAGGAAAAGCAAACGATGCAGCGTTACAAAGAAGTCTAAAGATCCCCGAAAAGATACCGCAGCCACAAGGGCGAGGGCGGTACAAACAAATCACCGCAGCTGCTGAAGAGCACCTGGGCAGCGGCAGCAGGAAGCTGTGCGATGCCCGAGGACAGCGGGGCCGCGAGCACCAGCAGCGCTCAGCTGTGCCGGGCTGCGGGGCACGAGCAGAAAGCGGCTGTGCCGGCTGGTAGCAGCGGCTGTTGCTGCTGTCAGCAGCACCACGTTAACATACAACAATCCTATCTTAATAGCTTTTTGGTTTTTTCTCTTAATGTTTTATTGCATACCTGATCTAACGGAGGGCCCGGCTGGCCGTCAGCTTAGATTAAAAAATAAAAAATCATGAAGCTGAAGCCCATCCATGAACATATTTCCACATCCCATTTTCTAAAACGGCTACAAAACAGCCCCAGCACTGTGCATTAAGAGTACAACGAAAATTATGAGGTTTTATTATTCTGAATACATTTGTGTCTCAATTTCTCTATGCATCTGTAATTTTTAGAGTAGCACCACAAGAAATACCCCCCCATCCCCAACACACCTCTCCCACATTCCTTACCTTTGCTACTCAGATCCTCCTCTTACACACGAGTCAGATCACCAAATACTACAGCAACAAGAACAAGATAGGGTTGAAAAGTTCACAGCAAAGCACTCGCGTTTGATCTTCAGAACTGAGCTCCTTATTTCATTAAGGAAACATCAAGGTGTGTGGAATTGTCAACAAGTGCTGCAGTGCCACAACTCGGAGGCAGCTCAGTGAAAAGCCCTCAAAGCAGCACAGGGGCACAGGCTCAGAACCACTCTGCTTCCACAATAACCAACGAACCAGCTGTACTTTTCCTAGGGAAGCTTCTTCACCTCACTGTTACCTCCAAGAAGTTCCACAAACCAAACTAAGAGCTTCTCGCCCACCCTGAACAGCAGTAACTCAAACTGTGCCAAAGCACTTAAAGCAGAAACGTGTACACCCATTTTTACTATGCATATTAATAAATATTCTTTATTTAAATTTTGCACATTGCGCTTTAACATATTACATCCAAAACATTTTGCAAATGGATGTCTACTTTGTAAAATCTTATATTCAGCTCATTGTCATTCTGTACAGAATTATAGGTACAACATTACTTTGCCACTAGTCTGCTTTTTGTAAGTCTCACAGTAAGAGAAACATTTAATGAAAAGAGATGGCTTAAATTATGAGAGGCTTGCACAGCTACTCAACTAAAGATACAAGCCTGAAGAAAGAACAAAAGAAATGAAATCACCTCCACCAGCCTCCCCCAAAAAAAACAGAAAAAAAAAAAAAAAAGAATCACATTAATTTAAGATAAAATTTTGCCATAATTCACTAAATTAAGTTTTTGAAAGAGAAGGCGCAGTAGTCATCTCGAGAATTTCAATGAAAGACAGAGCTATTTTATTGTGTTTAGTTCGCTCCAGCCGTTGTCAACCAACCGTTACAAATGGGCCTCTTGTGATCATTTAAACGGCAGTATTTATTAAATTTCTCCTTCAGATGCTGTCGGTATTGTTCTCTATTGCTGTAAAAAGACTTGTTGTTTGCCATAAATGACTGTATTTCATCTTGTGAGATAAAGATTTCCTCGTCAGAAGTGCATTCGGATTCATCCTACAAACAAAAACAGGTGTTTAAAGTCTCCAGCAGGGCACCTCTCTATACAATATACCTGCCTGGCAACCATAGGTGCTGTTTACAGTTCCTCTGAAGAAAGATACTGCCTCCACGTCACAACACAGAAGCCTGAGCTGGCTAATCCCACCACCTGGTTCACGATGCTCTGCTCTCTTGGGTAAGAAGTGCTCTGTGCAGTCATGAAACCCACTAAAGAAAGCTCCAGTGTTCACACATTTTCAGTGAATTGCTATTATTTGAGTTTGTGGGTGGGGTTTTTTTTCTGTTCTTAATTACAGCAACAGGAAAGTAGAGCATGAGAAAGGACTAGGAAAAGGAAGGGAGACAGAAGGAAGCATGCCAAGGAGCCTGGGATTGGAAGCAATGTTTGAAGCACAAAGGCATCAGTAATGCATGCTTCATTTTACGGAAAGATCCAATCCTTAACAACAAACACTTATACTGCAAGTTCCTTCACTCGCATTCCAGTGACAGGCAATTCCTCCTCCTCTGTAAAGCAACTGGGTTACACACTTCACAGAGAAAATGCCAAAGCAAACCAAGTGAGCACTGGGAGAGCAAGCAATGAATTTTAGCTTCAGTTACGTTATCTGCAGTAACAGCTGCTCATTGGGATGTGAAGTTCCAAACCCCACCCTCAATCACTACGATTGGAAGCAGTATGCAGCAGCCTATAACTGCAGTGTAAGTGGTTACTTACGAGGAGCTCCACTAAGCTCTTGGCACCTTTTCCAGTATCAGGAACAAGTGACATTTCTGTAGGTTCTGCAAATTGTGACACATTTTTCATATGCTCAAACCAAGGCAACTGCTGCCCACTTTTTTCTGAGCTACAGCAGCTTTCAGCATGTGTGTCTTTGGTCTTGTCACGATGAAACTCTGTGTGCGTTGTATTTCCTGAGGTCTCTCTGATACCTGGATCTGCCATACAGCTTCCAAGTTTCTGAATCTAAAATCGAAAACAGCAGTGTTAAAACTGAACCACTGAGAGTTCAGATGGAAGGAAGGAGGAAAGAAAAACTTTCAAGAGAAGGACAAGGATATATACGTATTTTTAAGCGGGTGTGCTTGGAGGAAAACAGCATGTCAATACACTGAGAGTGCACAGAAGCACACGAGCTAAGGGATGCATGAGAGAAGAGATTCCTACCTCTACAATCGACTCAAAGACCTCCATTCCAAAAACTGAATGGAGAAATACCAGAAGACCAACACTACCTCGCTAACTGTGTCAATCACAACAGAAATTCCAGATGCTTCTTTAAAAATGTATGCACTTAAATAGCTATTCCAGAATACTCGTGGATCCTTACATGTTCGTTCTCACACTTTAAAGTTTTACTTTTCTTTTTCTTCTTTTTGTTTTTGCCTTTTGTGTTGCTTTCTTCTGAATTAGCCCAGCACTCCACACAGCTATCTCCATCCTCCTCTTTGTCGTCGCAGCGATGGACGCAGGCATCATCTCCTACAGAAGACAGGGCATATTCTCCTTAGACACAAGGAAGTTTTGCACGTGCTGAAACAACATGAACTTCTTCCCAAACCCACCATTTTCATCATGGTTGCAAATGCCTTCAGTGCAGGCCACGTCCGACCCCTCTCGAGATCCCGTCTCGCTGCCCTCCATGCTGGATGAATAGCCACAATCACTACCATTACAATGTGGAGATAGACCTGAGTTGAAGCAGAAAGTTACAATCATCTGCGGTAGCTGTTCCATATTCCTTATTCACACCTCTAGTGACAGAGATATATTTAAAAAAATACTTATTTTTAAAAGTAACTGAACACTGCTTACTCCACAAATGGCAAACAACCAGAGTCTGACGTACCTTTCTTTATTTTAGGTGAACCTAACAGGGTACCACTACTAGGACAGGTGCAAGAAGTGCTTTCATTGGTAACAATGACTTCTACACAACTGTTAGCTTCTTCAGGGCTACCACAGGCTTTGCAGCTATTTTCCGTGAAGTCCAGGTTTTCCTTCAAATAGATAAAAAACAAAATCCACAAAACCAATATATGCAATTACTGCAATTAGTTCAGTCAGTGCTTTTAGAAAAGATGCTCTTTCCTTAAGAAGTAGCAGCTGACACTGATAACAGCCACAGCACTGCTAAATTCTTCAGGAACACATGGAAAAAAAAAAAACAACTAACATTTAAAACAACTGCACTTCATCCTTCCTTTCCCAAAAATTCAATGGCAATTGTCTGCAAGTAGCATTTGAAATCTCTTATTTGAAGTGATAACTTTAAGAAACAATGGTTGAAAAATGCTCCATCATAACCTGACCTCCCAGTTTTAAAATTAAAACAGAAACGAAGCCCCAAAGTAACAGCTTCACAAAAAGACTATGCTAATCTGAGAAGAGAGAAATCCCAGCAGCCATCAAGAACTGCTTCCCAAAAACAAAATTCCTAAAAACCTCTCCAGAATTGCAGAACAGAAATGTCAGTCGATGAATGAAGCACCAAGGCAGGGATCAGTTATTTAACACCAGCAGAAAGCTACAGCTGTCGGCGTTTACCTTTGCTTGATTTATTTCCTTCTCTTCTGCTGCCTGCAGAGGGGTGGGGATCTCACACACACATTTATTTTTCCGTCTGTTCTTTCGTTTTTGGCGCTTCTTCTCCTGCTTAAGTTCCCGCACTCTTTCTTCTTCTGAGAACTCTTCGCAGAGCTGCTCCAACCTGCTGATCCCCTGCACTTTTTCCACAGCCATCTGTACACGAGAGGTTACATCTGCTTATAGAAGTTAACACTACTCAAGTTTTTACATTGATAAAGGGGGAAAATAGCAGGCAAGCACCGTCAATGATAACGTCAAAGCAGCAATAGTGAGTGTAGAAGAAAAGTGCTGGATTCAGGCACTAGATTCCAACCGACAGAGAAGGGGTATGGAAGGGAGGTGGGAGGAGCACTGCGTTTATTCTCATGGCTCATGGTCTCATTTTTCAGTGAGAAGCAGAGACTTGAACAGATTTTTTGTATCTGTGTTTACATGATAGAAACTCTGATTATCTAACACAGCAGGACAGAAAACCACATTACAACTACTG